ATTTTTTCATCTGTTTCTTCTTGCTTCTTGCATAAATTGTTGATTTTTTCCTCCATCCGGTTTATGCACTGTAGGACCCTTATTTTGAATTCTTTTTCTGTCATGTTGCATGCCTCTTTTCGTTTTGCTGCTTTTCTGGCGAGCCCTCCTTTTCTTTCCTTTGGCGGTTTCTCTGTCTACCCATGTTTGATCTCACCGACATATCTAGATGTTGAGTTGTTCAGTCGCTTCTCCCTGGGTGGCAGTGGTTCCTTGGGCTGTGGTTGCTCTCTGGGTGGTTGCGATAGCAGCTGCTCCTCAGTTGGCAGCAGCTCCTCTGGTGGGTGCTGTTCACAGCTGTGGTGGCTCTTCTGGCTGGTGGGGGGAGACTTCACGTACAGCTGCTGTTCCTCAGACAGAGGGTGTGCTGATCAGGAGGCTGCTGTTGCTTGGATCTTTCTGTGAGAAGCAGGACTCCACGTAGTCGCTCTGTCCCAGATCTGGTGTCTCCGGGTTAGCAGCCGATCTCTGGATGCTAACAGTATTGGGTGTACAGTATACGTTTCCAAGAAACAGCCACTCAAGATGGCATGGTCTCCGCAGCTGAGCCGGCGATCCGGGAGAGATTTCAGCTGCAGTCTCCAACTTTCAATCCACTTTCTCAAGGATTCCTCCGCCGTTCCCAGCTGCAAACTGTCTCTCAGCTGAATATCCTCTGCTTATTCGGGCTGTGTGTTACCTGCTTCAGCTGCTCACCCTAACAGCTCCGGGACCAGGCACGGGACACGTCCATCTATACCTCCGCCATTTTTTCTCCTCCTCTGCAAAATCTTCTGTCATGTTAAGTCTCTCTAATTTGATTTTCCAAATGCCATATGTTTCCATTTCTTTTTATGCATCTCACGCCATTGTTTTTGCTAACAACATTGGCTTTTTCTGTTTTTCATTAACAATCTATAGTTTCACTGAGTTGGTGAAATGAAGAGCATTTGATTGACTTTTAACTGCCTTATCTTTTTGGGGGAATGTAATTACTTCCATGTTTGGGTGATCATGTGATGTAAGAGATGGGAAAAGAACTATTTAACATGCTGAGTAACCTTTGCCCATTTCCTTTTTAAAAAATTATTTATATTGGTATCTATACATATAAAAGGCTAAGCAACCGGCTTACCTGCTGACTGGCAGTAGGTATGATGCACACTGACCACCAGGCGAAAGATGCTCAATGCAGAAGCTGCTGAGCTGCGGTGACTTGACAGTGGAGGTTCTCAGGTTATGCACCACAGAACCATAGAGGAGGAAGCCCTATTCCTTGCAAGACCATGTGACTCCATTTTTTGGCATGGGTTATGTTCTTGCTGGGGCACTGTCGGCCCAGAGTCTGGTTTACTGCCAAGCTGCTGTGACTGCCGTCACCCTTCCAGCCACGGCGCTGCCCCAGTTGTGGCCGGCCAGTGAAGGACCATGGGAGGTTGGCTCTAGGGTGTGTCCGGCCCAACCAACTCACCCAGTCCCACCCCGCTGGCCACCTTCTAAGAAATTTCCGGGAGATTAGCTTCTTTGGTTTATCTCTTCTCAATCTGCAAATATATATATCCTATCTAATAAAAGACAAAAAGGGTAATTAACCATACCTCCACTATGCTTCCCATTGGCTAATTAGGGCAATATGCAAATTACTGCCAAGAAAGATGGCGGTTAACTGCCAACAAAGATGGCTTTTAATTTGCATACATAGGCACAATGCTGGGAGGTGAAAGGGGAAGGATGGAAGAATGGTGATCGGAAACCCAGGTGGCAGGCAAGAGCCAGGTGGCAAGGCAAAGGCGGCCCTGGGGCCGCCTTTGCCCTGCCCCCGGCCCTGGATCAGAGAACCGGGCCACCTTTGCCCGCCCCCCAGCCGGTGATTGCCATCGGAGATCACCAGCGGCACCCCAGGGCGGGTGCAGCCGTTGTGCCTGCAGCCCAGTCATAGCCCTCGCAATTGGAGATCATGGGGCTGCAGGCACAGCGGCGTCACCCTTTGGGCCGGGTTCAGCTGCCCTGCCTGCTGCCCCATCATCACCATCTCATCGGAGATCACGGGGCTGCAGGCATGGCGGCATCACCCTGGGGGCCCGGTGCAGCCGCCGTGCCTGTGGCCCAGTCATCACCATCTCATCGGAGATCAACAGTGGCGGCACCCCGGGGGCCGGGTGCAGCCACCCATCGCCATCTCATCGGAGATCACGGGGCTGCAGGCACGGCGACGTCACCCTGAGGGCTGGGTTCAGCCACCGTGCCTGCTGCCCGTCATCGCCATCGCGATCGGTGCACCCCGGCACACCAGCACCTGACATGCAAAGGTCAGGGATGAAATGACTTTTCCCAACCACATCTGCAAATATCCTGGGGAAGGCATCACTGAAGAGTTCACAACAACTCTCTTACTTGGCAAGGAAGAAAACAGTTGGCAAGGGAAACAATCCCTTACATCAAAGTTAAGGTCCCTCTGAGTAAAAAAGAATATTTCCAATGTAAAGGAGGGAGCAGGCAAAAATAATAGGTTCTCATGATTTCCACTGAAATTTGAGCATATGACAGAGTCAAAAAGAACATACAAATTAAAACAGACAGTGGACATTCAAATGACCTGAATCAACTGTCACTGTTTGTCCCAATAGCAGCAATGCTTATGTGATAATATAGTTTAACAGACATACAAAACA